TAAAATTGTAATTTTCATAGAATTCAGACGTTAGAGACCATTCACAATCTCTTTATTTTAAAGACAAGAAAAGGCCCGGCTAAGTTATTAACCAGGGTAGGTAATTGCCCAAAATTCACAGAGTCTGTGAGTGGCCAAGTCAGAACCTAATGCCAAAAGCTACACCTCATAATGGGTAATATTTTACTTCATTTACTATACTGCTACTCTCTCATGGGCAACTGTTTTGTTTGTTTGTCTTGAGTGCCATTGGAGGGGTGGAAAATAGTTGGGCCAGGCATAAACAGAGAAAGGAACATTTTTTAAGATAAGTCTGGGAGGGCAGGGGAAGGAAATTAAATAGGCTCAGGATGAGAAAAGCAAAAGTACAACCAAAAATTGCTCAGGTGCTACATGGAGGAGCAAGGGGTCAAGCCCTGCGCTAGGTTCCTGTTATGACTGACTGTAAACCCAAGAGAGATCTCAGAGATGACCAATAGAATGCACACTGTGGAGCTACTCCCAGACCCCCTGTTCAAGGCTAACAACATATTTCTGGGCTGCCGGGAATATTAGTTCCTGGCCATTCACATCTGTGTCAATCAGCAGGCACTGCCCTCAGTGAACTGCTTTGACCATGACTACACCTCTTCCCAGGAATGCAGAATATGGAGATACAAAGGCCCAGTCCCCTGGAGTCAATTTGGTCTAACTCTGAAGAGCCACCCAACTTCAGTCCCCACTGACTACAGGGCTAGCTGTAAGCATGTTGAGTGGCAGCTTCTCCCTCTGCCCCTGCCAGTCTCACTTCCTTATGAGTGTATCTTTCTAACCACTTGCCCAAAAACTTTCCTCTTGCAGTCTGTTTCTAGGTAACTCAATCCAAGATACCATCCATATTCACATGTTGTGGGAATTGGGACTAAAACCCAGGTTTCCTACATCATCATCTCGTTAACCCAAACCATTCTCCACTGCTATACCTCTTTCTATGGCCAAAGCTCTTTTTACATACAACTTGACATAACCCAGCCCTCTACGAGGGGTGGCCTCCCAAGATGTGGGATACTGACCATCAGTGTGTTATACAAGTTGATTTGATGGTACTTGGATGGGCTGGTGTTTACTCTACTAGTTATCTTCGCTTGGGATTTCCCAGAAGCAGACCCTGAGATAAGGACTCACGAGAAAATGATTTATTAGCATCCAGGCCAGCTTCATTGACGTTCAGCCTATAGAGCAGTGGTTCTCAACCTTCCTAATGCCACGACCCTTTAATACAGTTCCTCATGTTGTGGTGACCCCCAACCATAAAATTATTTTCGTTGCTACTTCATAACTGTAATTTTGCTACTGTTATGAATCGTAATGTAAATATCTGATATGCAGGATGTATTTTCATTGTTACAAATTGAACATAATTAAAGCATAGTGGTTAATCACAAAACAATATGTAATTATATATGTGTTTTCCGATGGTCTTAGGCGACCCCTGTGAAAGGGTCGTTCGACCCCCAAAGAGGTTGCGACCCACAGGTTGGCGACCCACAGGTTGAGAACCGCTGCTATAGAGTCTCCCACACACACCTGTGAGGTTACACAGAGCCCAGTACGTGGTTTAATACGCTTGAAATTCTTAATTTATTAAATTTTTAAAATCTTGTATTCGGCCCTGCAGATCATATAGTTGATCCTGATTAGGACATGTTCCTAGGAAACAGTGATAGGGGAGTGGGAAGTGGGACCGGGAAAGGTAAGAAAGGCAAGCAAGAATAGGTAAATGGAATCAAATATATGGTGACCCACGGGTATTTAGTGGTGAACATGCTATAATGTATACAGTTATCTATATATTTAAAAGCCTAAGCAACAGGCAAACCGTCCGACCGTTTGACCGTCTGACTGGTAGCTATGACGTGCACTGACCACCAGAGGGCAGATGCTCAACTCAGGAGCTGCTGAGCTGCGGTGACTTGTCAGCTGTGGTTCTCAGGTGACGTACCCGGAACCAGAGAGGAGGGAGCCCGATTCTGGGGTACATCACCTGAGAACCACCCTCTCATAATCCTGGACCCCTCTGGGTATGTTGGAGAGCCGATTTCGGCCTGATCCCCGCAGGCCAGGCCGAGGGACCCCACTGGTACATGAATCCGTGCACCAGGCCTCTAGTTGAATTATAATGTTGCACACCTGAAACTTATATGTTGTTTATCAATGTTACCTTAATAATAATAAAAATAATGTGATATCCAGCCAGGTTTCATAAGGGAAGGGAGAGAATTTGGCCCAGTCTTGTAGGGAGCTCTGTAAACAGTGGAGATGCAACCTAGAGAATTGGAGTATTTATGCCCTCATGTCCCTTAGTCATTGGAAAAAGGCTGGGCTAGAGGCAGGGACACATTACTTCCTAGTAACTTCCAGCTGTCCCATGAGCAGGCAAAGCAAACCCTGCAAGCTAAGGGTGGTGCTCTGACAAGGAGATGCAGGTCCTAGTGATGAGAATGAAAGCACACCTAAAACCAGTGTGCACAAAATTCAACAAGGGTCAGAGGGAGGGAGTATGGCAGAACACTGACAGTAATTGCTAGAGTTAGGCTGTACAATGGGGCCTTGACTTATGAGTGTACTGACTAACGAGTTTTTTGAGATACCAGCTGTCTCTCGGCAGATTTTTTGCATTGAGTTGACAGAGTAATTTGAGTTAACGAGCTCCTTAACGAGCTCGGTCTTGAAACGAATTAAACTCGTAAGTCAAGGCCCCACTGTACTTTAATATGATTCAGGGTAAGAGACAACGTTTGCCTATCAAACTCAAGATTTCGTGGGTGAAATTACTAATAGCAAGACAATATATGTAAGAAATAACAAAAGTAAGTCAATCAAAAATATAAATGAAAAAAATCATATAGGAGAGAAGCCATGATATGAAGGTGAAATATGAGTGGCTTGAAATTTGGACACATTGGCAGATTGGAAAGAAGAGTGGATGCAGGGCCGTGGGTAAAAGCATAGAGTCTGGAGCCAGGTGCCTAGGGTTTGAATTCTGGTTCTGCTACTTTTGGACTACATGGCCTACCATCCCTGTGTCTACCTGCTAGGGTTAGGAGGATTAAAAGAGTTAATATATATATTTAAAGCAACATCTGCCAAGTAAGTATTAGCTCTTGTTACCCCTGCCTACTCCGTGCCTCTCAAACTATCTGTGGTATTTCATTTTAAATCTGTTACAGTTGATGCTTTTACACAACATGATAGATCACAAAATGGATAATGAGAAAATGAAATAAAAGACATACAAAACCCAAGGCCATATTTTTAGTTATTAAAGTCAACAGGCAGAAAATTACTCAGTCAAATTGCTATAAAAGTTTCTATTTGCTCATCTTCAACTCCTATGCTCATCCTATTACAGACAGGTAACAGGTCCCAGACTGTCCCTGTTCTATGGACCAGTGGACTTTGAATAGCACTGGATTAGAAAACCTTCAGTAAGCCACTTAAGTTTTTGATGTATCCGTTTTTAGGTTTTTGCAAGAGATGAATGAGCTTATGCACTGATGAAACTATAAAGTGCCTCATAAATGGAAATTACTGGTAGGACTGTAGGAGTAGATTCTGTAATCTGTGGCCAAAATTCTGTATCTATACCCTGGATAGAAACTCCAGGGTATGATAGTATGAGTCCCTGTTGGCATCACACTGTTCTGTAGAGGTATATGCTTGGAAGTGTCAGTGTCTGTAAATCAGTCAAGCATTTTCTACCACTGTACGAAGCAGGAAATAAAGGGCTCCCCTGGTAGGCTGTGGCTTGCACCCCCACAACTACTGCCATCCACAGGTGGCTACAGCCATACTCCTGGGGCAAGGCATCCAAACAGAAACTTCCTCTACCTGCAGCATCCCCTCTGCAGCCTGGTCAAGAGATTTTACCAGAATGATATGTGAGTAATGGTCAGAAAGAAAGAGTGAAGATAATGTCCTTACTATAGTAGGCCTCACTTCCCTTCAGTGGGTGCAACTCAACTCACAGCCATCCCTCACCAATGCTCTAAGACGCCATTTCAAGTATGGACTCTGCCCACACTGGTTCTAAGTGACCTACTTTGGCCTCACCTTCTCTTTTACCTCCACCCTGTCAAACGAGAAAGCAGATATTTAGGTATATATGGGGAGTTGTCTGAGTAATAAGATTTCTGAACATCTGTCTTTTTTACTTTTTCTGGACACCCCATCTGATTCATCTTGGTTTCTCCCCATTATCTTTAAGGCAATGTGTGGCCCGTAGCAGGTGCTCAATGAATGTTCACTGAATGACTCTATGTACCAATCATCTGAAGTCTGTGAAAACAGAAGTGGCTCTTCAAACTACGGACCCTGAATCCATCCAGAAGAAAACCCAGCCAAATGCAATGAATCCATTACACAGAACTCTGCCAGGTGCTGGGCATTAGGAAACACACATTTCATGGGGGAGAGATGGAGGTGAAGCTCATAATGGGTGCATGTACTGCAAATACAACAATCCACAGTTGCATCTCCACTTTCTGGGAAACGAAATCTCTCCGTGGCCCCGGGGCCCTTTAAATTTTACTGTGACTGTTTTCTTAAGAAATTCCTGGAGCGGAGCCTAACTTTGGTGTAGGGGGTTGGCAGCGCGCATATTGGTGGCCCAGGGGACTGTTGGCATCGGGGTTGGCGAGGAGTTCGCACGCGAAAGAAACTCCGGAGAAGTCAGAGCAGCCCCCTGGAAGGCAGCGAAGTGGGGGGCCCCGAGAGTCCTTGAACTCCGGGGCTTCCGTGAATTCGGGAAAGGACAAAGGAGAACGGCCAAAGCGGCCAGATGTTGGCGGAGTTTCACAGCTCCCGACCTACCCCCTCTGCCCGCCGGGACGCGACAGGGGTCGGAGTCCGAACCGGGAACGATCAGGGCGTCTGGGGCAGAGGGAGGGCTCGGGCCGCAGGAAGGAGTCCTGGCCGCCACCGCCCCGCCCGTCGGGCTGTCCGCCCCGCCTACCCCGAGCGAGGCGGGGCCAGGGCGGGAGAAGAAGACGGAGGAGGAGGAGAGGTCGGAGCCGTCTCCAGGAGCCCTTAGAGACCGAGTCCCGGCGGCGGCGGCGGCGGGGCAGCCACCGGCAGACGAGGGAGCACCCGGAGGTGGACGCAGGTGGTGAGTAGGGCGCCCGCGGGGACAGGGGCGCAGCGCGGGGCGTCGGCTGGCCAGCTCGGGGGCCGCCTCCGAGTTCCCGGTGCTGGGAAGCGAGATGGAGGGAGGGGACGGAGGAAGGGAGGAAGGAGGGAAGAGTGTCCCGGAGGGCGGGGACTGGTCGGGGCCC